GGAAGGATCGCCGGAGCCCAGCAGGTCGAGGCGGCCACTGCACTCCAGTCTGGGCGACAGAGTGAGACTCCAACTCAAAAATAAAAAATAAAAAGAAGAAGAAAATAAAAAATAAAAATAAATAAAAGAAGTTACTGAGAACCATGATGCTGCAGAGAAGTGAAATGGACAAAAGCAGCTCCGTGTCAGACTGGGAAGAGTGTCCTAGTGTCCGGAGTCAGCAACACAACAACACAACAAGAAGCCCTTATTCTTGTCTTGGTAAATCCATTCATTCATTCATTCACTGAGTCAGGGTCTCGCTCTGTCACCCAGGCTCACTCATGGTTCAGTTCATTATAGCCTCAACCTTCTGGGGTCAGGTGATCCTTTTGTCTCAGCCTCCCAAGTAGCCAGGACTACAGGCATACACTACCATGCCCAGCTAGTATTTTTTTAATATATATATAGAGAGAGATGAGGTCTTGCTATGTTGTTCAGACTCGTCTTGAACTCCTGGGCTCAAGTGATCCTCCCACCTTGGACTCCCAGAGTGCTGTACAAGCATGAGCTACCACACCCTGCTGGAAAACTTATTATTAAAATAAAATAAATAAAACCAAGAAAGATAAGACTTCCATTCTTGGAATCATTTAGGAAAGAAAGAAAAGATTTCAAGAACCAACCAGAACATGCTGATTAATACTTTCTATCCCAGTACTTATTCATCTGTATTGGCTTTGTGTGTGTGTGTGTATGTGTGTGTGTGTGTGTGTGTGTGAGAGAGAGAGAGAGAGAGAGAGAGAGAGAGAGAGCGCTAGGAGGAAGGGCTGCCTGAACTGAATCTTGAAAGACCAGCAGACATTCATCAAAGATACTCTGAGGGACAAGAAGGGCAACTCTGTGCTTGCATCCTGGTGTCAGAGTAGGAAGAATTCCAAGTCTTTGGGGCCCCTGTGTTCTATTCCGGTGCTGCCCCGCATTTCTGTTGAGAGAGATGTGAATAGGTAGATGTGCAGAAGAAAACTGTCTCTTGAGAAACTGTCTAGTTTCTGCACTGCTGGTTTTCTATGAGTCTTTAATATGCAAATATACACCCAACAACAAATCCTTTGTCTCTCCCTGTTGAACAGTTCTGGAAAGCTTATGAAGCACTTTTCAATGGGGTGCGTGTGAAGTGATAATGATTCTGTAACATTTCTCTCCTGCCATCCTAGGTCTAACTGGCTACACTGTCACGAAAACAAATTACATGGTACCAAAGACAACATTAACACAATCTATCAGGTAAACAATTGCATGATGGATTACTGTAGACTTGTCCATAGTTGCTGCATAATTCAACCTTTCTCTGTTCTGCATATGAATAGCTCTCTCTTGGGCCTTAGTCTGTGGTTCACTGGAATATAGTGTTGACAGCATGGGTCAGGGCAATGTACAATGAGAGTACTATACTGTCTCAGCAGAAGCCTTAAAGAGATGCACCTGTTTTTTATTAATTATGCTGCAGGCATTCTGAAGACCCAGCAAGAGATCATCTGTGCAGACAAGCAGTAACAGAAACAGAATGTTAGGATTTCATCCTGAAGGAAGCCTCTGGAGGTTCTTAACCAGGCAAGGGCAAAGATCAGGTGTATTTTAGAAAGTTCATTCACAGGGAGAGAGGACTTGAAGTGGGGCAGTTGCTGGAGAAAAGAAGAACTAGTTTGGAAGCTATTTTAGTGAAGAGAGAAAAATAAGTTAGGGGTATGTTAGGTCAGTGGGCTGAGACAGTGCCACGGGTATGTAAAGAGTTGCACAGAAATTAGATTAGAAAAGAAAGTTTGTTTAGAAAGTAGATCAGAGAAAAAGTGTGGATCACCTCTCCAAGACTGAGAGGGGGCCAGACGCTTAGGGAATGTTTGGCAGCGAATGCTTAGGTTGAAAGAGCTTTTAAAGATTCTTTGGGCGGGGGCAGGCAAGCACTCACAGGAGCTGACGTCCTGGTGATGGGTCTGTTTCTCTTATCTCTGACAACCTGATGGATGGTTGGTTCAGTCATGCACACATGGACAAAGGTGGATCGGTGGCTGAATGCGTGGTTCTGTCATGGGTGGCTAATCACACAGACAAGAAGGGCAGGGCTGGTAGCTGAAAGACAGATTCCTGGGAGGTGTCAAGGGTATTAGGAAAGGCGTATTGTCATGTATGATCTCAAGGAGATCAGAGAAACTCCATTTGGGACTCCGTCCTTTCTGGGTTAAACTAAAGAAGTGACAATGGGAGGGGTGCGAGGGCACAGTGTGAGAAGCATTTCAGAGGTAGAATCGATTGACTGGGTTCCTAAGCAACTGTGTGCGTGAGAAGCCAGGTGCGGGGGTAGGAGGAGTAAGGATGATCTCTGACTTCTGACTTGAGCAACAAAGCAAGGGATTATGACCCTGAGCAGCTTGGTACATTGAGAGCAATGCAGAAGAGAGCTCAGTTTGAATCCTGACTCCATAAACTGCTTAGTACTATGGCCTTAGTGCAAGGAAGTTAATGTCTCAGAACCTTACTTTCTTCATCTGCAAAATGGGGCAATAATCTCCCTCTCTTGCATGTATAAAGTGACTGGTACATAGTCTGTGCTTATGAAGTGGAAGTTACTGTTACCGAGAGAACACACAAGGAGAAACAGTTTACAGAGAGAGATGAGTTTCATTTAAAAATATTGCACTTGGGGTGACTTGGGCAGACACATGGCCAATGTCTGGTAGGGTTTTAGATCTGAGAGGGGACCAAAAAAAAAACAACCCAGAATTATTTTTTGGAGGGTGGGCCCCTTGTAGTTAGGTAAGTGTTCTAGGAACTCATCGGCATTAGAGTACCAGCTAGCATTGTTGTGAGAAGCTGTGTCAGCTTCAGTGGATTTGGGGTTTTTTTTTTTTTTAGATTCTTTTAATACATTTGCCCATTTCATGATGAGTGATTTACAACCGCACCTGCCCGCACCACTGAGTGTTGAGCAGTTTTGGACCCAAAACAGTATGACCCCTGTACCCCACCCTCCTTATTCACCTGATCTCACGCTTATAGACTTTTTTTGTTTCCCCAGATGAAAAAATTCCTTAGAGGGAAACATTTGCCCATGTGGAATAGGTGAAACAAAAATTGGCAGAAGCACTAAAAAGCATCAAAACTGACAAATTCAAAAATTGTTTTGAGCAGTGGAAAAAGCATCTTGACAGTTGTATTGCATCAAATGGACAGTACTTTGAAAGTGATTGATGTTTAAACATAAAAGAATAAATACAACCGGGCTCGGTGGCTCAGCCTGTAATCCCACGCCTTGGGAGGCTGAGGTGAGTGGATTGCCTGACCCCGTGGGTTTGAGACCCACCTGGACAACTTGGCAAGACCTCATCTCTACAATAAATCAAAAAATTAGACGGGCGTGGTAGCGCACGCCTGTAATTCCAGCTACTTGGAAGGCTGAGGCGGAAGGATCGCCGGAGCCCAGCAGGTTGAGACTGCGGTGGCTAAGAGTGGCCACTGCACTCCAGGCTGGGCGACAGAGTGAGACTCCAACTCAAAAAAAAAGGAATAAATACACAATTTTAAATAAATAAATTCCAGGTTTTTTGGGTCCCCTCCATATATGGGTATGGAACTTAGGAGAAGTATCTGGACTGAGAGGGACCTGGGAGCCATAGACTTTTTGAAATTAGACCAAGGCAAATAAGTCAATGAGAATAACCAGAAACTGTGTGGAGAGAGAAATGGAAGAGCCAAGAGAGGGCCTTGGGAGCAACAACACTCTGCAGTTGGGCAGACAAGGAGAGCCAGCAGAAGGGACATTGTTCTAGAATCAGAAGTTGGTGCATACTAAAGTTGGAAGACACGGGTTTGAGTCTCAGCTCCATTGCTGACTAGCTGTGTGATCCTGGTTAATCCATATAACCTCCCTACGCCTGTTTTCTCATCTGCAAAATGGGAATATTGCTATGTCTACCTCATGAAACTTTGGTGTGTGAAACTGTTTTTCAAGCTGAGAGCCCTCCAAGTGGTTCCATGTGGTCATTTCCCCCTAGACTGAACCAGCCTGCGTCTCAAAACAAGGTCACTTTGGGGGTGGGGGGTGGGGTCTCTGGAATACTATCCTGGCTTATCCAGCAGGGATTGCTGCCAGCTCAAGTTCCCCTGGGCAGTTCTGGGAGTCCCAGGCAATAGGCGTGGTACTTAGTGTTGGTACTTAGTGTCGAGGAGGAGTCTATTTTGCTCTGAGGGCCCCATGCCTCTACTGAGGATACGGGGCCCCGTGCACAGCCCCCTCATACTCTCTTCTCCTTGGTTCCACCACCCCAGTCACTCTGGCGGGATTAGGGGTGGGCCTTGCTTCCAGGACACCTGTTCAGCCATCAGCTCCCCAAGCCTGCCCAGGGGGCCGTGTGCTAGAGGTCCTGCCCCCTCTCTTGTGTGGACATTTGGACTCAAGAGTGCGCAGAAGGAGCCCAACAAATGATGGGGTGGGAGTCCCAATGTCAGAGTCTGGGTGGGTCTTGGAGTCCCTCACAGCTGCTTGGGGCAGAGGCGCCTGGTGCCCATGGTGGGTTTCTGTCCTCCTGCCCTTCACAAGCTGCTGTCCACTTTCCTTTTTGGTCCATCGTGTGATTAGGGTAACCTGAGCGTGCTGCTCTGTCTCGCAGCCTAAAGGGGCCTAATTGTCATGGTAGAGTCTCAAGGTCCTCAGGAGGGTGTGGACTTGCTCAGAGTAGAGATAATAGCTACAGGCTGGGCATGGTGGTTCACACCTGTAATCTCAGCACTTTGGGAGGCTGAGGAGGAAGGATTGATTGAGCCCAGGGTTTCAAGACCAGGCTGGGCTAGATATAGCGAGACCTAGTCTCTACAAAAAAATTTAAAAATTAGCTGGGCATGCACTACAGGCGTGCACCTGTAGTCTCAGCTACTTGGGAGGCTGAGGCGGGAGAATCACCTGAGCCCGGGAGGTGGAGGCTGCGGTCCAGTCATGATCGTGCCAGTGCACTCCAGTTTGGGTGACAGAGTGAGACCCCCCCCAGCTCAAAACAAAACAAAAACAAAACACACACACACACACACACACACACACACACACACCAAAAACATCAGCTATGGTGAAGAACAGACACCAGTTAATATCTGTTGACTAGGGGAGACTGGTTAACAGTCACCCCCACAATGAAATCCACAGCTAGAAAATGGAACAAAGATGCTCTTCACGTGCTGCTAAAGGGTGACTCGCAACATGTTTTCCTAGGTGAATAATGTGAGGTTCAGAA